CGACACACACACACACACACACACACACACACACACACACACACACACACACACACCTGGCTGTACAGACACGAGGTTGGAGGCGTCGTGGAAGAGGTGCAAGTTGACAAAGTCAATCTCATGTGTGTCAATGAGCCAGCGCGTCTGGCAGTAGCCCTTGCGTGTCCACTCCGGTCGTGGAACAAGGGGGGGGGGAGGGGAGCAAGTGTGTGTGTGTGTGTGTATGTGTGTGTGTGTGTGTATCGGAACCTGCAAGCGGGCTTCTCGTGTGCAGCAAGTGATTAACGTCAAACAACAACTTAAACAACTTAAACAACAACAACAACAACAACTTAAACAACACAACTTAAACAACAGCAGCAATCACCACTCCCAGGCCCCACCTGCGGGTAGAAGTGTGCTGGGAACTTCTGGCGGCGGAAGGACGGCGTCTTGGGCGTCGACTCCGAGTCGAAATACTCGTGCGCCAACACCGCCCGATACGCACGCGCTGTGGTCATTGCAGTTGTTGGTGTGTGTGTGACGTATTGTCTGAGGAACAGCCACACACGCAAGCACCTCTCACAAACACACACACACGCGCGCAACCCCGCCCCCGCCCCAACAAAATGCACGGCCGTCACACCTTCAAAGTCCCAGATCTTGGTGCGCATGCGACTGCTGATGAGATAAAAGTTGCCCAGCGCCTGCACAACGCGTGGCGATGATGAAATGGATGGCACGATCGGTGCCGAGAAAGGAAATAAGTGAATGCATAATAGACACACGCTACGTAGAGCACACAGTACACACACACGCACACACGCACACACACACACACACACACACACACACACACACACACACAACACCACCCATCCCCTTGCACCACAACACAACATGTGTGTGTCGCCGCACCGTGAAGTCGCTGCTGTCAAAGTCTGTGTCAAGGATAGCAAAACTGGCGCGAAAGTGCTTGGAGATGTACGGCGTGGTGCGAATCAGGCTGGCAGGCGGTCGCGAGGGTGGGGGAGGGGGTCAGTGATGGAGGCGATGGAGAGAGGGTGGGGGAGGGGGTCAGTGATGGAGGCGATGGAGAGAGGGTGGGGGAGGGGTCAGTGATGGAGGCGATGGAGAGAGGGTGGGACGACAGTGCAAAGTCGCATCGTCAAACATACACACAGACGCAAACACACACACACACACACAAAGAGACAGGCACACACACACACACAGACAGACAGACGGACTAAGATGAGAGACGTCATCCCACCGGAGGAAGTTTCTGACGTGCTCCATGCCCTGTTCGGATTTCTTGCCGCCAGGCTTCCTGCAGGGGCATCGCAGCAAATGTCCGCACCCTCCGTCTGGGATCGCCTGCACGCCCGTGGCTTTCTGTGTGTGTGTGTGTCT